AGGAGAAGGGAGCACGATGGCGTGTACTGCGCATGCGCAGTTCATCCCTCCCTACTGCGGACAAGGAGGTGACGCAGCGATAAGGCGACGTCGCTGCCGCCATCTTACATTAGGGTAAGTCCCGCCCAGCTCTGCCACGACCTAGGGGTTTCTAGTGCCGGTACAGCGCCTGGGGAGGCCCCGTACCGGAACTAGAGGCCCCTGGGTCGTGCCCGTACCGACGGTGCATGGGCTCAGCTCTCCAGTCCGGGTGGCAGGAGCCCTGCCTGTGCACAGGCAGCAGCGTTAATGCTCTGCCCCTTCCCATGCAACGGAAACCCCAGAGTTCAGCATCAAACATTGAGCTTGGGCAGCTCCTCTGCAAAAATATCCCCATAAAAATCCCTTTTCTAAGCCCAGAGAGGCTTACTGGCCCTATCTAAGCAATCACTCCCATGGGATATTGATGAGGCAGCAGGTGGGGACAAGCCCTTGGAAGGACACAACCATGCCTCCCCAGGGACCCCTCGATTGCCTCCCCACCTTCCCCAGGCAGACACACCACCCAGTTCTCCATCGCTACAGTCAGAAAGCACTTGAGGAAAGACCCGGGAATGGAGTCTGCGTGCTCTTTTATTACAAGTTGTTCAGCGTTATTAAAAAATCCCCAAAGCCAGAATATGTCTGCCTGAGACCAGAGAGCCAGGATGTGCCACTGTAGGGGAGGATTAGTGCTTCTTGCCATAGATTGCAGCCAGCGCTTTGCGGGCACTGGAGATCTGCTGTTCCAGCCTCTCTCGGGTGGCTTTGTTCCCAGTTTTTTTCAGCATGGTCTCCATCTCCTCCACCACCGCGCGGTGACCAGCGGTGTTGTGGAAGATGCGGATGGCCCGGTCCCCACACGACACCAGGTAGCGGCTGTTGGTGTCAAAAGCCAAGTCTGTTATACATTGCCCATGCACACTGAGGAAGCGCTCCTCCTCCTCTCCTCTTCTCGTGTTGTACACAACAATGTCTGTGCCACTTGAGATGGCAACGACGCGAGCATCAGGGGACAAGGCAATGCGGCAAGGCTCTGTCACCTCACACTTCCCTGTCAGAAGCAGGTACGGATCCTGTTGCTTCTTATATTCCACATCTGTGTCCCAGAACTTCCACGTCCCATCCTTCGAAACAGTTGCCATCCTGCAGCCAGGAGACAGAGCACAGGTGAGAGCAAGGAAATCGAGCAGCATCTCTTCCCCTGCCATGCCTGCGAACCAGGAATCCTTTGTGGCCAGCTCTTTTGGGAAGCGTGAGTCTGTACCTGCATATGGTCCTTGTCCTCTTTTCAGAGCACAGGTAACAGTCCCCCCCAGGAGGAAAGCCACAGGGAACAGGCA